GGTCCGGAGCTGAGGGCGCGCTGAGCTGGTTCCTCGTTCTCCGGCATCAGTCTGTGTGTCTTCCCGCAGGACCCGCTGCCCAAGGTGAAGGACCTCGCTTTCCTGAAGGACCAGCTGGAGAGCCTGCAGCGCAGGGTGGAGGACGAGGTGCACGCCGGTGTGGGGCAGGTAATGCCCTGTGTCCCGCCCACCTTGAGGGGGCTTCTTAAAATAAATCCCCCGGGCACGTCCCTGCTCTGCACTCCCCACACGACCACCTCCTGCCTGCCCTGAAGCCTTGCTCTTTGCTTTTCTCCACAGGATGGCTCTCTGCTGGCCTCTCCCTTTCTCAAAGGCTTCCTGGCAGGCTACCTGGTAGCCAAGCTCCGCTTCTCGGCCGTCCTGGGATTCGTGGCTGGGATCTGCACAGGGGTTTACGCTGCTCAGAACTACGCTGTCCCCAACGTTGAAAAGACAGTCCAGGACTATTTCAGTTCGCTGAAAAAAGGTCGGGACTAGTGAGGAGCCCTTTGGCGGCAGTGACTGTAGGAGTGGTTCTCCTTAGTTAGCGGGCGCAGAAGATCCCTAGGGCTTTCAGAGGCACACGGTGGACGCCGTTGTGCTCTGCCTGAGAAGAGCTTTACACCACATCACGGCAAAACATCAGCGGGCCTGGTTATGGGGTAGCTGTTAGAGCATCGTGACGGCGGTGATCACTCCATTAACCCACAGGAGCTTGGAAGCATCGGTGGCCAACGGTTTGCCAGCTGCCGTTTCCCCCTCGCCTCTCTCCCCATGCCCCTGTGGGCTGAAAGGCTGCCCAGGACGTGTCATCGCCTTTCCACCGAGTGCACGCTTTGCCCTAGGGCCATGCTCTGTGTGGCTTCCTGGGGAGCCTTGTAGGTCTCTTCCTAACGAAAGGCAAAACCTTTCTCTTCCACTGCCTCAGAAATGTAGCAGGTAGCAACCTGTTTGAATCAGGCTTATTAAATTGATGGTATTTGGTCTCTTCTTGAATGTTCTAGGGTGCGAGTCTGGCCTGTCTGCACTGGTAGCAGCTCGCCCTTGCTGGCTACGGCCTCAAAATGGTGATGCTTGGTAATGCTGCAGGCCCTGCAGACTGGGTGCTCCAGCGGGGGCTGTGGGGACTGATGCTGGTCTTGTCTGTAGCCATATACGGCTCTCATGCTCCCCTCCTGACCCTGTGCAAGGTGGATGGGACGATCCCCTTCAGCTCCGCGTCCGTCGTGGTTCTCGTCGAGCTGACCAAACTCCTGTTCTCCCTCCTGTTCCTGCTCACCTGGGACCGGGAGCCGCTGGGAGTCGCCGTGTCGTGGCGCCACGTCGCCCCTTTCGCCCTCTCTGCCTTGCTCTACGCAGCCAACAACAACCTGGTGGTTCACATGCAGCTCTTCATGGATCCCAGCACCTACCAGGTCCTGAGCAACCTGAAGATCGTCAGCACCGCGCTCCTCTACAGCCTCTTCCTGCGCCAGAGGCTCGGCGCGCGCAGATGGCTGGCGCTCTTCCTGCTGGTGGCTGCTGGGGTGAGCTACAGCTGTGGAGGCCTGCAGGAGCCCGGCAGCCCCTCCGAAATGCGGCTGCACGTCACGCTGGTGGGCTTGCTGCTCATCTCGGTGTACTGCCTGATATCGGGCTTGTCTGCTGTCTACACAGAAGCCATCCTGAAAACCCAGGCGCTGCCTCTCAGCCTTCAGAACCTCTTCCTTTACGTCTTTGGGGTCCTGCTCAACCTGATCGGTTACTTCTGGAGCGGCGCAGAGGGGGGTTTTTTAGATGGTTTTTCCCCCTGGGTGCTGGTGATTGTGGTCAGCCAGGCCTTGAACGGCTTGATCATGTCAGTGGTGATGAAGCACAGCAGTAACATCACCAGGCTCTTTGTGATCTCCTGCTCTATCCTGGTCAATGCCCTCCTGTCTGTCGCCCTCTTCAACCTGCAGCTCACCCTCCTCTTCTTCGTTGCTGTCTCGTGCCTCGGCCTTGCTGTTCACTTGTACTATGGGGTCAGGTAGCTGCTGCCTTCTGCCCTGTGTGCGCCGGGGCAGCCTTTAGTCCTTCCTCAGGGGTGTTCAGTGCTGCAAGCACAGCGATGCTCTAGTGTTTTTTGGGGAGCTGTTACTGGGGGACTCATGCAAGACAAGCAGGGGGTCCCTGGAGGAGGAGCGCTGAGGGGGAGAGGGCCCTGTCGCTGTTTCCAGGGACCCCAGGCCAGGTTCTGTGCCATGGGGTTCCCGTGTGACCGGGTGGGTGCTGAGCCTTCCCAAGCTGCTTCCCCTTTTTTGTCCCATACCAAAGAGCGCACCCGTCTCTTGTGCTGGTAAATGCTCCTGCAGGAGTTAACTCTGCGGTGCTGCGGGCTCGTCTGCGTGATCGCTGCCAGGCCTTGGTCTGACACAGCTCCTGAGGATGGTGCTTACACAAGGCTGGGTGCTGCTGCCTGGGGAGCCTCACATCACACCCAGGGGCATCTTTCCCACCTCTGCAGTTTTCCAGCCCAGCTCCTGGCTGAAGATCTCCTCTCCTTGAGCCCCATTTCCCTTTCCTAGTGGTGTCACTGCTCCATGCACAGCAGATGGGGGATAGGGGGATGCAGGGACTGCTTTGGCCGCTTCCCAAAAGGGAGATGGGGCCCGAATTTGTACCAACACTGTGGCTAGTGAGTTTCTGGCAGGCAGGAGTCGCCACTGGCCCTGGCCAGGGTTATTAAAGTCGTAATTCAACAGCATGTGCGTGTTTGTCTCCCTGTTCTCCCTCTGTTTCATTTGGTAGAGGTTTGGGGGCCAGGGATGTGTCTGAGCTGACAACCCAGTGGTGAAGGGGCACTGATTTTATTCCACAGGGTAGCAGCCTCCCACCGAGCCCGCTCTGCCCCATTGCAGGGCCATCCCTGAGCCTGTGCCCCTGCAGGCAGGGCCCAGTCCCAGAGCAGGGCTTTCCCCGGGGGGTGAAGCCCTCCCCTCTCTGCCACCCCCTCCCCGGGCCAGGTCCCTGCGGGCAGGATGGGAGCCCTTGCCC